TGTCAATGAAAAGTCATGGATTTTGGTTTGTGGATTTGTGTGAGAACCTTTAGACTGGCACCCTTATAGATGTCGGTATAACATCAAACTACTTCATGATTGGAATTGACAAGATTCTGATACAGTAAAGTTTCTTTGTAGATGTTTAGATGATAGATGTTTCAAATTGTCTCTGTGTTTGTGCTCCTGTTTGCAACATCTTGCTTTCCACAGAATTTGGAAACGTTAACGGTTCACTGTTTCCCATCCCAGATACGAGAGCGAAGGAAGGTACCGCAAGAAGATCAGGGCCCAGTACCTCTGGCAGGCCATTATACAGGCTCAAACGGAGACTGGTACCCCGTACATGCTGTACAAAGATGCCTGTAACGGCAAGAGTAACCAGCAGAACCTGGGCACCATCAAGTGCAGTAACCTGTGCACGGAGATCATCGAATACTCCAGCCCAGATGAGGTACGTACATGTACATTGAAGGCCGGTCGACACTTGGCGCTAAAGGAAAACACCGAAGTGCAGATCTGTGATGTAAACCACTACCAGCCGGGGTCTCCGAACTCGGACAAAGGAAACAGGGCCCTGTAACAAAAGACCGTACTCCGAACAAAAGACCAGGCTGCTGGGCATTACTGGCATTTTTCACTCTCAAAAGTGGTGATAATCCAGCGTTATTTTGAAACCCTGTACCAGGGTTTGGGGTATTTAGAGCAAGCGGATTACCACCGGGGACAAAAGCTCTCCACCACCGCAGTGATGAGCCACACAGCACCGCTGCATGCGAATCTGGCCCCTATTGAAAAGAGGTCANTATTCGGGCATCAATGAAGGTCACCTGTCAACTTAGAGTAGTGCCTAAAGATTACTCAGTGCGGCTATAAACGACTGTTAATTGGAATGATGAATTGTTGAAGGATTTTGAAAACGGAAAAAATGATAGTCATGCCGGCCCAGAATCCTCAACGTTGAAAAATGCTCCGGCACGAAGTGGTTAAAATGAATATTCGCAAAATGTTCAACGCGTGCAACTCAAAGTGAATTTTGCTGCAAATGTTTTGTGATGTTAAAGTTGCCTCACTTCCGCATTCTATAGGTATGGACAGGCCTTAATGCTTTGGTTCAGCATACAAACTTCTTTCCAACTGCAAATAGCGTGTCAATCAAGATTTTCCGATTTCCACTTTAGAAGATGACTGTACATGTATGTAGATTTACATAACCTGTAGTATTTCAGGTACTTAGACCTGTAGTATTTCGGGTACTTAGACCTGTAGTGTTTTAGGTACTTAGATCTGTAGTATTTCAGGTACTTATTTAAAACAAATATAGTTTGTGCAAAATAGATCATCCAAAAGCAAGACTACAGGTGCAATCCAAAAGTTCGACTTTTTTTTTTTTAATCCCTAGGATGAATTAATAAATTTTCGCACAAGTGCATCGTCAACATTTTTCACTTGATTGGAGAAAATCATGCTGAAGTGTCAAGAACGGCAGTACTGCCTGGTCAAAAGTCCTATTGGACGGCCTTCCTTTGAATTGAAAAACCAGAGCACCTTAAAATTTAACAAATGTCAAAATGGCCAAAGGCTGTCTGAAAGATGCGCGGGTATCCTTAATTGCTAATTAATTAATTTGTACCAAATAAGCCATTTGCGAGTTAAATTTGAATAAAATCTGGTACTCTGAGTTCTTTAAATTCACGTGAACATAACTTGAATTCTCCATACTAAACCACTGTTGCTTATACCTCGTGATTCGGGGCAAGCTTTTGCTTAGTTCATAAGAGACGCCTTGCAACAATACACTCTTCTCAATGGATAAGAACGGCATAAAGGAACCAGTCCATTCCAGAGATGATGGTCGCCATGCAAAAGCTTGCCCCGAACCACAAGGTTTAGCAACAGTGTCTTTAGTCTGGGGAATTCAAATTGTTACATTTCTATGCAATCAGATAACACAGTGTACCAGATTTTATTCAAATTTAACTCGCAAGTGGCTAATTTGGTACAGATTAATTAATTAGCAATTAAGGATACCCGCGCATCTTTCAGACAGCCTTTGGCCATTTTTCTTCAGATCAGCTGATTTCCTTGTTTTTCACTTCAAGCTCATGAAAATTGAATAACACTGTATGAAGTCTTGTAAAGATTGGAACTTCCTTCTTTTTTTTTGGTCCCAAAATCCCATGCCTGCATTCAGTACTGCTGCAAATTTGAGACAAATGCACACTGGGTAAACTCTGTCTGACTTGACAGCTTTCATTTTGATGACAGTGGATCATTTTTTTTTTTTTTGAATGTCAAACCATAAAATGCCACTTTTTTGAAAGATGGAGAGTGGAGTGAGATCCGTTGCCTTTGAATGGTTGACAGGTAGCAGTGTGCAACTTGGCCTCCATCGCTCTGCCCATGTACGTACTCCCCAACCGAACCTTTAACTTCAAGAAGTTGGCCGAGGTGACTCAGGTCGTCACCAGGAACCTCAACAAGATCATTGACATCAACTACTACCCTGTCAAAGAGGTAAGAAAGGAAAAGTCTGAGTTGAAAGCCACAAGTCAGTTTGTTAAATCATTGATGATGGGACGGTGATGAAGAAATGCCCTTTTGTCGTGGTTCATTGGGGCTGCTTTTCCCTTGGACTGGAGCGAATGACAGTTGATGGACTTGTGAGAACTTCATGATGGATGTGACTGCAAGACAGAGCAGTTCCACGTGTACCACTTCTTCTAAAGTTGGAACAGTCTGTCGTTTGCTCTGTATCCTATTTCATTGTTGCGGCTTGACATAGTAAATGTAGTTGATATTTGGGTCATTCCATGAAGTTCGGGCACAGTTTGTGACGGCGTCCCTTGTTACATCGGTAACTTTTATTGCCCATTATTTTCACATTACAACAGACTAAGTCATTATTATTTGGCAAAGATGAAGCACACCTCTACAAGAACCTAGAAACATTTAGAACAATGTCAATTTAGAATCCACATGCAGAGAAAAAGATGTTTATTTTCACTGATGTAACAAGGGACGCCGTCACAAAACTGTGCCCGAACTTCTTGGAAAGACCCATTTGCATTAGCCCCCCCCCCAAAAAGACTCCGGTTTCTAGTCATGGGCTCGGTCCAAAAGTGGTGCGTTGACTCCCTTTTTTTCCCCTCTTTTTTTCTTAAAAATGATGCACATATACTTTGGCCCTGTTACTTATGAAAAGACCATAAAATATGACGAGAGGCAATGGTTTCATTTATCTCATTCAAAAGAGAGGCTTCTAATAGGCTATTCTTGGCAAGATTGGGCTTGTTAAACTACAGCAGCAGAACCATGGACAAATCATGTGAAAAATAAATGTTCAGCTCCAGTTTCCAGTTTAAATGAAATTCTCACGAGGTAGCAGTATGTGACATTCTTGGCACATTGTTTTCTGCTTTAGCTTTAAGAGGAAACAAGTTGCACGTCAAATAGCCTATGAACAAAAATAAATCAAAACAGTTCAGGTCCAGAGTCAAAATGAAGAAAAAAATTTCCCTTGAGTTAAATGATATACTGTGCACATTGTTTTCTGTTTTAGCTTATGAGAAACAAGCTGCATTTAAAATATTGGGGGAAAATTCAGCTCACAAAATAAAATCTCCTCTCACTCTAATCTACCTTTGTTTGCCAACACTGAAATAGACTGGCCCCTCAGGGTTTGTTGCTCAAAAGGGTTTTCATTATGTAGACTTGAGCAGGACGTAAGACCACTTCGTTTGCCTGGTTCACAGACGTACATGGGCCTGGGTCGATTTAATTGGCTACAGCTGGAAATTACACCGAGTATTTGGCAGCATCCACTGCTAGTTCCCATAGAATCTTGCATGATATCAAGCAGCAGCCAACTGATTTGGACACGGCCTTCGTGTAAAGATACACGAATGACACCATCTGATCAGAGTGCCCGACTGAAATGTATGGAAGCCTAGGGTATTCCTTTACCGTACATATTACTCCACCCCACCCATCAAAAACAATTACGTGGTTGTAGAATTCCTGCCAAACAAGTAAGTTTGGCAGCTTTTGGAAATCGTTTTATGCAAAATAAAAAAGTATTTATTTTGCCACCGTGCAGGTCTTCGGCGACGCGCGCAGTGACCAGAAACTGGAGACCTTTTTTTTGACCTTACGTTGGTAATTGTAATCAAAATTTGAATCATGAAATTGTCAGCAGTGGGAAAAAAATGTCGACTTTGTTTAATGGTGTAAGATTGAACAAAGAAGTTGACAGAATTGAACTTGTCACATCTAGGGCTCTGCACCAGTATGTCCAATCAGTCCCTAGTTGGATGTTGGCCATCTCCAGGCTTGTCAAAGTCTTTGGATTTGAATCAGGTAGCAAGCCTACCTCTGCTGCAGTGGCTTTGATTTGTGAGAAGTTTCTGGTGTGGATGTCAAGCTGATTTTGCTTGTTTCCTTCGTCCGCACCCCTAGGCAGAGAGGAGCAACCGGCGTCACCGCCCCATTGGCATCGGGGTGCAGGGCCTGGCCGACGCTTTCATCAAGATGCGCTTCCCCTTTGAGAGCCCCGAGGCCCAGAAGCTCAACATCCAGATCTTTGAGACCATCTACTACGCCGCCCTGAGGGCAAGCTGCGATCTGGCCAAGGAGCAGGGACCCTACGAGACCTACGAGGGCTCCCCGGCCAGCAAAGGGGTAAGTCCCCGGCCATTTGTCAGTTGCTTTTGTGCTTCGTTTCCCCCTCATCTCAAATGGTTGCCTCCTCTCACCTTGTGTTGAATCACTCATTCAGCAGTCTCAGGGTATCGTGGATATGGAATCCGGTGTGATGTTGCCTGGAATGGCTTCCGTATGGGATTGATAGGGATTTGCTAACAAGGAATCAGGGTTCCGACCTCAGCCAGTTCTAAAAAACTGCCTGTCCTCTTCCGGGAAAAATATAGAGACCTGACACCTCTTGGCTCTATTTGAGGACACATTTCCACTGCACTCTGTATTTTTGAAGGAAATGTGAACACATGTTCCCCAGTATAACAAATTTTTTGGTCAAAAATGTGAGCTTGTAAATTTCAACCAAGCAAAACACTGCCTGTCCAAGTTTGTTTTTTGCCCGTCCTCAGGACAAAACGGCAAGGTGGCCAGATGAGACACTGCCAAAAGTACTCTGGTATTCTAAATGTGGTCGTGGTATCGTAAGGTTCTAGTCACTCAAAACATCGGTACATGTACGCCGTGTTTTGGTTCACAGCTACTAAGCATTTCTTGTCGAAATGTGACACGCATGACACATTGGGACGACAGTAGTGTGAATGCGTTCTGATCTGTTTAATAATTGGAGCAGTTGGTTCTCTAGGACCTAAATCTACATGATTAATATCAGCAGTGTGCATTAACTGTTCCTTTGCAACAGGAAACAACTTTTCTTTGTCTCTGAAACGGGAGTGTTCCAAGCATTAACGACCCTGCAATGCTGGGTCAGTGTATTTACTGGTAGCATCACTGCACCAGCACCTGTGCAAAGTTGTGTAGGGTAGACAGTGCAGAAACGGTCAGCAGTAGAGGTAATTAACCCGTTTGGGCCACTCAAGTCCAAAGCAGGTTTTGGATCTAGGCCACAGGTGGATTTAAGAAGAGGGTTTAAATGGCCCATTTGAGGTTGTTTCTTCTAAGCACTGCTTCACAATAGGAAAGGACAGTAAAGTAATCTGGTTCTATACATTGTAGATTGACCTTGACTTTAACCCCCTCTCCCGTGTATGAAAAATTGTATTGAAATTTCACAGTCTGTCAAGATGACATAAGCTGTCACTATCTATTCATGGATTTGTTGCATGCCTGGCAAGGTTGCCAATGTACTGTGAAACAACACTTGCAGGGACTCTGTAAATAGTTGACCAATCTCGTCACTACCTCCTAATGCAAGAAAGGAGGTAGATACTCAGATAGTAATGTGTGTCAGTTTCACGTTTGGTGTTTATTGCAAGTACGAATCTCTACTCGTGGAATCATACTGTAGGATTATGAACAAAGTACATGTATACACGATTGAAATTAAACCAGGTGCATATATAGGAAACATAGGTGCACTATGATGATTTGGATTGCCGTTTTAGTGTTTGTGTACGCTATTTTTGGCATTTGGTGCGTCACTTCACTGGAGAAGCGCAGTTATCTGTCTCGTGGTGTGACCTAGTCGTAGTGCGTGGGCACCACACAAGCAGCCAGTATTCCAGGAACCAAGTTCGCAGGTAATTTTTCCCCAGCTCCGCAAATGCCCCAGTTGAAAGAATTTTGTCAACAGTTAAGCTTTTGATCAGGTTTTAGGTAAAAACTGAGATTAAATGCTAATATAGAACAGAATCACAATCAAATTAGAATGAGAAGGATTCTTGTGCATGCAACAGGTTTTATATTGATTGAGTGATATACAGTAATGTTTATCCCAATGAAACTTGAAATTATGAGGTTCTGTCGGAAACTTTCGGCGGATCTTGGATCTGATGTAATCCTGTGTACTTCCTTGAAGCATTCAATAGCTATATGAAGCATTTGAATGCTGAGTTTAACTTTTGCTTGTTTGCAGATCTTGCAGTATGACATGTGGGGCGTCACCCCAACGGACCTGCACAACTGGGCAGCCCTGAAGGCTGATATCGCCCAGTATGGCCTGAGGAACAGCCTGCTGATTGCCCCCATGCCCACGGCCTCCACTGCCCAGATCTTGGGCAACAATGAGTCCATTGAGCCCTACACCAGTAACATCTATACCCGCAGGGTGCTCTCGGGAGAATTCCAGGTACTGGGCCCTGTTATCGCAGAGTTTTTGTTAATGATGACATTTGATGATTTTGCTCAAGCAAACTTTGGTGCCGAGCAAATATCGAGAGAGAGCCAGTCAACCACAGTGCACGTTTTGTGGTATTTTTGCCAGTTACCTATAGCGAATATATTCTGTGCTTGGCGTATTGCTGCTTTATAGCAGCTCCGGAAAAATTGGTCCCTGATCTGCTTTGAAAACTTAAGTTTAAATACTTCATTGCTTAGTTTCAAGTCTGAAAACTCTTGTCATATTCTGAAAATAGATTTTTACCGTAGGGCTCAGACACTGCCATCTCCAGTATTTTCAGTCCTTTTCCGATTTCGTTGAGAACAGAGAGTATACCAGTTGATCACTGAACAGTTGCTAGGTTTGTGAAAGTAAGGAAGCCGACGTGTGCCCTGTTGACGAGGGTGAAATGTGAGCTTACATTTCTTCCCACTTCAGGACTCTCCTTTCATTTGAGCAGAAACACTCTGTACTCTGTAAACTTTCAGACGTTTTTTTTTTTCAAATCAAGTTTTATGCTCAGTACCGTTTCTAGTTTGACTCATCTTTATTCTCTACTTTTTTGGTAAATTGGCCAAAATTTAAACATTTTTCATTTCTCCAAAGTAGCAAGATCTTGCTTTGTTGTTGAGCTTCATGTTTGTGATATTATAATTAGGGGGTTTCTTTGCTTTTGGTACAGATTGTGAATCAACATCTCCTGAAGGATCTGACGGAGTCGGGGTTGTGGAATGATGAAATGAAGAACCTCCTCATTGCCCATAACGGCTCCATACAGGTCTGTGCTTTTAGCGGCTGCGGTTTGTGCCTGAAGTAGGACTGTTAACAGTCGCAACAAACCCTCTACTGTGTAAACTTCTGATGTATTTTAGTTTGCCTACAGTCTTTGTATAAAGGCAGCAGTGCAGAAAACTCAACCCGATATTTGGAAATACCAAAGAGAATGGGACATGAGAGCTGGTTTCATTTGTAAATGGGTCACCTGTCTTGATGTTACGGATAAAAAAAAATGCAGTCACATAAACAAGCAACATTTACGACACTACTCGCCTGAATTATTTGAGTCATCCAAGTTCTGGATACTTTGAAGTTGATCACCGAAGACAACCCTGATTCAACTTTCCAATTGTCGTCTCATCTGCTTTTTAATCATTCAGTCAAGTATCTTTAGAACTTGCAATTGATGAGCTGACCAGTCCTTCCTCCCCCCCCAAAAAAACCCTGTATTCACTGAAATGATTTGTATTCTTCAGTATTCATTCGTGTTCTATGACATAACCCTTTTTCTAATGTTGATCGTAGGTTTTTAAAAAAGCTTTGTACTGAAAGGGAAGGAAATGTCATCAACACTTGAACAGACGAGGATTTATGCAATAAACGAGCATTTAAATGAACCCTAAGATCGGAGGAAAAAAATTCATTAATTAGAGACAGTTTATATCAATCGTGCTCATTTTTGTGCTACCCGTTTCCAGAACATTCCGGGGATCCCCCAAGACATCAAGGATCTGTACAAGACGGTCTGGGAGATCTCTCAAAAGAACATTCTCAAGATGGCAGCGGATCGCGGGGCCTTCATTGACCAGAGCCAATCGCTCAACGTCCACATCGCAGCGCCCAACTTTGGCAAGCTGACCAGCATGCACTTCCACGCTTGGAAACTGGTAGGCATCCCCAACCCCCAATTTTCCCCCTTTCCTTGCTGAATTAGGGAAGGCAAACTCAAGTTTCTTAGGGTTGCTAAGCACACACTTCTCTGCCAACTGAACCACTGTCCATTTCACTGCCACCGTAACCAGTAAGCACACGAAAGAGCTGGCTAACTTCAGCAGCAGAATTTGCTGAAACATTTTTGATGTAGCAATAGAAAGCTCCATGCACACAAAAGCGTCAGCAAGATGTGACTGTGGAATAATGCTTAAGCTAGCAAAGTTATTTCTGCTGTAGTTAGCACAAATTTTCAATGCCTGCAGCAACGAAACATAATGGGGCCCAGAATTGAAGAACGGTTACTCAGGGTGCCTGAGGTACCCCATAAAACCTGGCAAAGGCTCAAGATCAACCTCAAGACACCACCTGTGTTTAATATTGGAGTCTCCCCTTATTTAGCTACAGCTTAGAATTACACATGCTCTCATGGACGCAACTACGTTAGTAGCGTCAGCCATTTCCTATTGTTTTAACCACTTGCTGCCGGATGCTTTTAAAATTGCAGGGCACACACGGGAGATTTTCAAGATTTTCAGTTTTCAAAATTCCTCAAAAATTCATCATTTCATTTAATGGATGTTTACACCCACATGAATGACCGTTTGGTGGCTACTCTAAGCTGACAGGCAACCTTCATTGACTCCAGAGTATTTAAGCCAGGCCTGCTGGCCCTATTAAGAGAGCCCAGAATTGTGAGGTATTGTATATTTTCCATGGCGCTCGAAACGGGGTTCCCCGGCAGCAAGTGGTTAATGCATTGTTGCCAGCCAAGTACTTTAGACATGGTCGGAGTGGAGCAGTGGTCTTGATAGACCTAAAACATGATGACGTCACACTTTGTTTACCTCTATGCTTTCCCAGTAGATTGCGCCCCATCTCACTGTCATAGGAAAGCACAGGTATACAAAGCTTTACATCATCATGTTTAATAGGTCTGTTGCTAGCCCCAGAAGCATAGTTCAGATCCTGAGGTATAGTCTTGCTGATCAAAGAAACCCTCCATCCGCCATTCCTTCACTCCCTAGGGCCTGAAGACGGGCATGTACTACCTCCGCACCCGGCCGGCCGCCAACCCCATCAAATTCACACTGGACAAGCAGAAGGCCAACGCCACCATGCAGAAGGCGGAGACACCCGAGAAGGAGGAGGAGGAGGAGAAGACAGCGGAGGAGGCCGAAGACGAGGAGATGCAGAAGCTGAACGAGGCGGCCCTGGCCTGCTCCCTGGAGAACCCCGGAGAGTGCCTCATGTGCAGCGGCTAGCAATCGGTCACTAGCAGTCAGGGCTGTGACTCCTCGGTTTAACTCCATTAACCAATTAACCGACTGAAATTACTCGTTCAAATTATCACTGCTGTTTATATTGTTTCAAAACACTCTGGATCATTGTCCGGTGAGCTGAATAAAATGCAACGGTTGGTTCTTCTTTTCCTGCGTCCATGTGTATTTATTTGTAACTTGTTCTATTCAGGGTCATAGATTTGTTGGTTTCTGCCTAGTTTGCAGAGGGAGCCCTGCCGTGTCTACTTTGTTTAATGATCTTAGTAACCATTCCGGTTGTGTGCGACGTCAAGAAAATCCCAGTACAGTAAATACACAGAACCACTAAATAAATTACATACAAGAAAAGTAGTAATTATATATACCAACTTTATTTACCGTAATTGGTTCACAGTGTACACTAGTAATATTTGAGTTTATTACACGAGTTAAAGTTGACTCGGTTCGATCCTTTCTTTTCTCACAGAACCGAAATGAACTAAAACTTTAACTCTTGCATCGCATCTGCTTACTTCAAGGCAAATATCATGGATCTGTCCACCAGACCATTGCAGTCTCTGCCATCTTTTGCATTTAGTTTGGTATTTAATGCATCAGGTGCTAGGAGAATTAAAATAATTCAGGGGTTTTAACCATCACCCCCAATGTGTTTTAAAAAATTCTGAAGCGGGAATATTGAGATGGTTAGCTTGGGACTGCATTCTTTGTTTTACTCAAACTAGATTTCTTCTGTTAAAGATAACGATTCTTTCATTTCTTGCTTGATAAAAATTACATGTACATGGCCAGGAAAAACTGTTCACTGCTTTATCCTGTGTCCTTGTGTAAAGTGGAAGGAACACATTTGCTAAAGTTAAATATGTTCATCTGTACAAAAGCCCATGATTAATATGCTATGACAAAAGAAATGAATTATTCTTTATAGAAATATATCAAAACGTTCCTGCAGTAAATTATGCACATGTATATTTGCGAATTAGTTTGTTACATTTAACTTCACTTTTGTCTGGAAATTTCCGGCAATAAAAGTGCCTCTTCACAGTCTCGACTTGAAATTGGCTAATCTTTGTGTAAAGTTTGATTCTGCTACCACTTTAACGATTGCATATTGTGTGTGTATTACACAACCCCTTTGCTGGACAGATTGTATGTCTTTGTTTCATTTTTAATGCCACCTTTTTTTTTTCAATAAAGACGACCATTCCTAGAGGATATCATCAAGGCTCTGCATTTTCATATCTCTGAAGTTCGTGGTTGGCACATCGACCTTTAGGGGTCCGTAGGAGCGTCTTTGTTTTGTATGGCTTTTCCATAAATTGTGTGTTTAGTTTTCAATACATGCTGTGCAGTACTGCGTTGACAATAATTTGCCCTCAGCGTTGGTGTATTTTTGGAAAAAGATACTGAAGAGTAATGTATTTGGATTTTAACTGTTTACTTTTGTAATCGAACTGTCGATGAGGAATTTTAGTTGAGCACTTAAGGATGTGAGCATATTAACTGGGTAGTATTACTGATGAGACAAGGAAAACATTATGGGACCCAAGCTGGTAGTAACGTAGGCTCCTTTGGTCCGAACTTCGCTTCGACTGTGAAATGAAAGCGTAGCTATCGTATCGCTACCATAATCAACACTCCCCACTAGCATGGCTCTTTTTGACCGATGAGGGGGTGCTTCTGCTCAAGGCGGATTGCAACCTTACATGCCTCCCTCCACAGGTCACTGTAATACATAAACACGTATTTTGTTTGTGCAGACGCATGGAGCATAATGATGTCATTGTATTAATGTATTCCAAGGCTCTGACATCAGACTCTTCAGAATACATTGTACATCTAGAAACATCAGAAGTAATTCAGGTTTGTTTTGTTTGCACCATGTTTGCACGAATTAGACTGCAGAACTTTCTTGTGGTGAGTTTTCCCCTTCTTCCGGGGCTTGGGGTGTCAAGAAGTAATACATGCTGACGCTACCGTCAAAATACCAATTAAAGCTGATTTTTTTTCTCTCTCTAAAAATGGGGAGTTATACCATATGACAACAGACTGGGTGTACCGTCAGCAATTGAAAATTCAGGGCGGGAGGGGCACAATCCAGAGCTGTTTATAGTGAGAGTTGTGACATAAGTGTAACCCATCCTTGCTGGAAACAATCAGACAGGTTCATGCGCCAGTGTACACCGACAGTTGGTGTACAAGAGCCGCATGCTCTATGGGTAAACGTAAATAGCCCAAAAATATGTCCGCTGAGCTCATTAATAAAAATATAGACTCAAGATTTTATAAAGTTCCGAGAGCCATGAAATTGGGGATATAGCACTGAACCTCTGGCCCGGACTCATCAGGGTTTCCATTTCTGAGCAATTTGGATACACAATCTGGTTCAAATGCGGTACTATTTAGCCGTTTTGCAGAGGGATGCATTTTCAAAGTAGCTACTTTGTCAGTTTATAGGGAAATATCTTTCCCAATTTTTTAGGGGTGGTCTGCTTGGGGTGAGAATTTCTTAGAAAGTCATTAGTCAAACCTACCAAAAATTGAAAGGAAAAGGAAGGCGATATGTTGATTATTAATTTTTTTTTTCTGTACGGCCTGAACACCTGTGTGAATTTTGAGGTAAAGGGATTAATCATTAGTGGCTATGTGAATTTATTTACAGGGGTGCCTCCCGGCCATACGGCTCTGGCACGAGCTTGGTGATCATAGAACAGTAGGGGGCGCTGTTGAATCAAACCTTTACATTGATTTTTGTCATCTTGAACGCCGGCTGGTTAAAAAGGTCGGAGGATACGTACTCTGAACAAAAAAAATGGTTTGGGCCATGATTGTTTTTCTACGAGAAATGATTTGCTCAGGGCTGATAACTTATGGCCGTTATTACGAAAGAAGTGAAGAGGACACTGCTATGCTCAACTGCAAAATATGAATTAATTCGTGAAATGCGAAATTCATGGATGCCCACAATCTGCCCGATTCTGAACGGCTCCTTGAATGCCTTCTCTGTGCGTTTCCTTGAGTATTTTCTTGAACGTTGACTTCATTTACGACTGAAAGGACTTTTATGTAAGATCAGAACCTATGTATTCACGACACAGTAATTAATTTTTTTTTAATACATACATCTCCGTGAAGTTCCTCGCATTACTAAAGACGATGCTTTTTCTTCATTGTCCTTCCTATGGTCATTTGGTTTAACATACAGATTCTGTAAATGTATTTAACCAGACAGGCCCAGTCTATCCGCTCCGAGCAGGCCTGGGACAAAAGAGGGCGTGATTTGACAGCCATTAAAAGAGATCGCATGATCTCTATAGGGTCCA